GCGAACACCCTAAGCAAGGCTCTGCTTTCATGCTCCACCAACTTTCTGATAAAAGAACAAGTACGAGTTCTGGCACCCCTCAGCAAAGAGAGTGTCACTGCAGGGCTCAAAAGCACCACCGTCATCGGCAATATAGAAAACATCTTGCTGGAGCATGATTGCCTTGTAGTGGCCGCAGTCAGGGGCATTTCCTAGATGAAGTGCAAAGGCGCACAGCCGGAATCTTTCATGCACAACTTGCATACCTTCAACAAAAACCGGAAAGCTCACCTCACAATCCGGAACAACCTCATAACAAAGCTTAGTAGTAGTTTCAGTGTGCACATCAAAATGAAACCGGCTGATTTGCAGAACAAGATTTTCGGGGCAGCGTAGGGCTGCGTGCATGCGGGCCTGCTGATGCCACTTGTCAACAAACTGCTGAACCGTAGTACTGCCTTGCCCTTGGAGACAACGCTCTGGCGGCTGAAGGAACAGTGGAGCCGAACATCCTCCATCATGGCACCGAATGGAACCATGTTCCTCCAGCTTGGAGGCCCACATGATGCCTAGTCTGTCCTCAAGGCTCGGGTTCTTCCGAACCAGAAACTGCAAAAACTCAGCTATATCATGCTGCCTTGCAGGCTGTGCCCAGTCTCGCATCATCATTCGCCAGAAAGGACTCTTCCAAACATGAACAACCCTATCAGACTTCAGGAGCCCCTTAAAGATCGAGCAGAGGCCAGGCGGAAAGAAGGCATGTGGGTCCATCGCCTTCTCTGAAACAATGAGTATGCATCGGACTAAGGCGTTGCAATAGCAGTAGTTCCCCTCATTCCCCAAGCGCATCAGCATAATGCGATCAATCAGCGAGGTCTCTCCATCAACGAGGCGAGTCGCTGTGCGAGTGGTCCCCGCTGAAGTCGATCCGGTCGCATGCTCACCCCCGCCACTAGCCACACCGCCGAGCCGCATAGGTCCTTGAGTAGAAGCCACGCCTTGTCGGCCTCTCGGGACCTTAGCCCCACATCCAGCATCATCGGGAGAACCGCCGACTCGATCTCCTGCGTGATGGGCCGAGTGGCATGGAAGCGGTTGATCACCATGTCCGCCTTGCTGAGCACAACGAGCTCCTTGAGCATGCCGAGGGCCTTCTGAGGTTCCAGAGGGGTGCCCATGTCGCTGATGACATGTTTCTTGGCCTCTCCATCCCACCGCATGCTGTTGATGACTGTCGCCTCCTCGTTCAGCCATCCAAGCTGGATCGCATTGGCCTTGGCCTCCGGGCTCGCCAGCAGCTGCTCGAACCTCGTAATCACCGCGGTCAAGAGTGCCTGCATCAGTACCACACGCATCGGAGATGTGAGCTTGGAAGGCTCCCGCTCCTTGGTCTGCTTCCATTGAAGCCCGGTCTGGTAGAGAATCGCCGCCAGGTTGCCCTTCATGTCCGTCCTGATGAACAGCATGAACGCTGTGTCGAGCCTGAGGATCACCAGCTGGTTGTCGTGGCGAAGGAGTAAGGTAGTCAGCAGATCGACCCTGGTCCTCAGCTGCTGCAACTCCTTCTGCATTGGGCCGTGGCGATACCCTGGTCCCACGGATCCGCCTCCTGTTGCCACCGAGGCTGTCCCTGCTGGTGGCCCCCCTGCTGATTTCCCCAGGGCCTGCCAGATGGTTTGGCCGGTTGCCGGGGGTTCTGGCCTTTTCCTCGGCCTCCCGAGCCTCCTGGGCCCTTGGACTCCTGGCGCTGCCACTTTTGTGGACGATCGGCTTCCAACGCTGCCCCTTGGTTGTACTGATCCGGGTTGTCCACCTCCATGTGACGGCCCTCGAGGTTCTGGAAGGAAGGGAAGCCCACCGCTCCTGCAGGTACCAGAGTCTCGAGCAGGCGAAGTTCCTGCGTAGCCTCCTCCAGCTTCTGCTGTTCCGTCATGTGACTGTCCACGTGGGCAGGAGCCGGAGTCATGGGTGGCACAAGGGGCTTGGGGTAAGCTTCTACCAAGCCTCAGATATAGATAAGCCCCACTGAAAAGAGCAACACACGAGCGGAGATGCGCGTCCCGTCGAGTGAAAGCCTCCCCACAAAACTTGCAAGGGCTCACAATGCCAACATAGCTCTTTTGAACAAAGGTCTGACACTTGTCGATGAGCGGCTTCAAGTCAGGGTGCTTTGCTAACATGTGTCTCTTCACACACTTGGGCTTGATAGATTTGTGATGACATTCAACACAATGGCACAGGTTCATTCGCACTCGACGGTCGGAAGCAAGCTCTAGCCAGGTGACTCGTCCTGCGAGGTCCGCAATGTCTGAGTTGTCAATCAAGGCTTCTGAGAGAAACATGATCGTGTGCCCTGGCTGAGGCTGCTCGTATATCGCCCGGAGCATCGGGCAACACCTAGCATTGATGTGATAGTGAAAATTGGGCCAATTATTGAACCGTTTGTCACAATGCTTACACCAGGGGAGCCCATTAAATGCATGCTCCATGTTCGAGCTCGAGGACATCTCCTTGATAGCTTGACGTCTGGCAGTCTGCTGCTCCTCCTCCATATGCTGTAGAAACACATGTCGTTTGAGGGCGGCAGCTGTGCTGAAGGAAACACCACATTCCGTACAAGTGAAGGTCTCGTGTATGATGCAATCAACCGGAACCAGACGAACTGAGGCAGCAGAGTGTCCCAAACTTAAAGCATGTCCAATTTGCGCCCTCAGCATGTGGCGCCATTGGAGCTGGGCCTCAGAGGGGTGTAGTGCAACCCCAAGAAAACAATCAGCACGCTCAAGACTCTGTAGGGCCCGATCCAGGAGGGCAGCTGGGTGGGAGATGCCAAGCCTGTTCATGATGGAGTGGTTGGTCTCATGGGTCCACATGCTGTGGGATTTCGCCACCTGGCGAATCTGCTGGACCATCAGGGCGAGCACCTGTTTGGCTCCCGTCTCCGGGAATCCAGTAGCGACCAGTCCATGTAGCAGACTAGGAGGAAGGCAGGCCTTCCACAGACGGAGACGAAGTTGTAGGGGAACTGCCTGACATTTAAGAACTGGTCGCAAGCGTGCATGCTGTCCTCTGGCAATCTCCAAGCGGTGTTTAATGGTGTCCATTTCAAAACGTCGAAAGCTGATAATCACACCAAGGTAAGTGTGTCTAGTGACAATGCGAACGTCTAGTTTCTGATTGTTCACGACAAACCTCATGTGAGGACCTTCAGGAAGTTGTACAGTGTATCGCTGGAGTGCTGCCGCTGCCTGGGATCCTCGCAGCTCGATCATGAGCACCGTTTTGGTGAGGCTGACCGCCAGGCCCTGAGAGGAGAGGAAGGACAAGATGTTCTTAACCTTCTCATAAGTGTGCTCAAGGTCTCGGCTCGAGGCAATCTGCCAATGGAACAGAAAATCATCTGCAAATGTCGTGTTGCAGTGAGCTATCTCCTGTACCGGTATGCCTGGGATACGCCGGAGAAGCCAGCCAGTCACCAAAGCCCAAAGGGCTGGTGACAAGCTGCAGCCTTGCCGCAGGCCAGTATGTAGAGGAACTGTGTCCTTCTGATCTCTGTGCGAAACTTGGATCAAGGCTTGGTTGTGGACCGCTAAGACAGCTTCGGCAATGGCTCGGGGAACAGCAGCATCCTGAAGAGCTTGGGCAAGCATGGATCGGCTCACCGCATCGTATGCGTGGGATATATCTAGCGAGAGGATGAGACCACCCGCCACCTTCGCACCCGCTGTGCCACCTGGCCTGGCATAGGGCGTTCTGCTGTGCGTCGCCAGGAGTGCTCGAACTGCAGCGCATTGTCCGCAAACACGCTCCAGAGCCTGAGCGAGAGAGCGATGTTGAGTATAAGCATACTGAGGGATGAGGTCCAGATATTGGGCCACGTACGGAGCGATCTTCTCCGCCAGGATCGAGGCCAGGATTTTGGCCATAGGACTGAGGAGACAAATTGGTCTAAGTTGACTGACCGAAGTGAGGGCCTTTCCAGGCTTCGGGATGAGGACAAGTTCGCTGATGCACCAAGCACGAGGAATGGTCAGGGGCCCCGGCGCAAAGGTCAGCTGCAGCTGCTGTGTGACGAGAGGGGCCAGCGTCTTGTGGAGAGTTTTCCAAACCGCTGCCGGGGCGGAAAGAGCGGGCATGGCCTTGCCAGGTGCCAGTCGTTGAAGAGCTCGAGTCACCTCATCCTGAGTAAACGGTATGGTCTCACATAGGTGGTCCGTGGAGGGCAACGGGCCATTGTACAAGCCCCTGAAGTAGTCAAGAATGTCTTGAAACTCCTCCTCGTGGGTCTGGATGGAGCCATCAGCTCGACGAAGTTGGAGCATCCTTCGCCTGGATTTGGGAGCAAACTGGCGAGCTGCTTGAAAGACGTTATCCGATGCAACGACACTGGCCACTCTCTCAATCTTCTTGCGGCGACCTCGGCGCCGAAGTTCCCGTTGGGTAGCTTGGAGGAGGCACACACGCCTCCATCCTGCCCAGAGGTCAGCAAGGCTGGGTTCCGCATGCTGGGTCGAGACCTGCCTGGAGCTGTCTCGAAGATGGGCCCTTATGAGCCAGAGGCGTCTGACCAGCTGCAGAGTGGGGACTTCTCCTTCATCTCTGCGAGCAATGTCCTCCGCCTGCTTGGTGAGCTTGCCCGTTGTTTCAGCCAGCTGCCAACCTTGTGACAAAATGTCGTCAAGGTCACACATCGGGGTTTGAGCTTGGCATAGGAGGGTGGCTGTGTGTTGCTGGAGAGCCTGCACTTTGCCTGGGACCCTGAGTTCCGCTTGCACTCGGTTGGGGTGGCTCTTGTGCACTTGGGCTTCGGCAGCGAGGGGAGAGGAATGGTGCCACTGACCAGTCGATGTCTGCAACCACTATGCGGCACAAATGGTGCGTCAATCGGTTTGGTCCTTCGGGCCTCCGGGTCACAGAGATTCTCACGAACGACGATGTAGTCGATTTGCGTCCCTAAGGTGGAGTCATCGGCTTGAGGCGGAATAAACGTTCGCGCCGACACACCCGGCTGTGACCATGTGTTGAGTGCCCTGCCATCGGCTAGATGTAGAAGTGCCTGAAAATCACCTTGGTCGCGATGGGGGTGGGAAGCCTTCGACACAAGACCTGGGCCACAGACTGGAGGATCATGAACCAGCGGGCAATTGAAGTCACCAAGCATCACAAGACCATGTCTGCGTGGGGTCTGAGATATCCACTTGGAAATGCCTTGCCATACCCGAGCTCGTTGCTTGACCAACTGCTCCACCTTGTGGGATGGATCAAGCGTCGACTTCTGGGGGTTCCACGCCACTTGATAGACGCAGAGAACATCTAGGGGGCTGCGTATTAGGACTCAAACGTGCAGCAGGCGTCCTTCCAGAAGAACACGATACCGAACACAGTCAGCCTCCACAAGGGACGACCTAATCAGGCAGAGTATGCCTTCCTTAGCCTTGCCTCCTGTGTGCACTGCAAACCACCGAGAATGTGACCCGCCAAGTCGTTGAGTCTGAAATTCAAAGTCCTCGCGCCAGTTTGTTTCAGCTATGCTGAAAATATCTACCGGTCGCCCAGCTTGGTCCTCGTCTTGTAGCCACTGGAGCACCTCCTGACACAATGTCGAGGACAACCCGCCGCAATTCCAGCACACAACACGGAGTCGCTGGTCTGGCCTGTCATGTAGTTGAGGCAACTTTCGAGCCGGCCCTGAAGTCTTGCAGGCTGGTAGGTCACCTTCAGGTGTCATTCTGCCCGACTGGAGGGTGCTCAAGTGTTGTCTCCTGCCCCTGTACCATGTAAAATGATCTGCATTCTGAGACGCCCTGCTGATGGCCCTACGTAAGGCACGTTTCTTGGGGGCTGCCCTGGGCGGAAAATTGTGGAGGGGGTCATTGTGTCGAAGACCACCTGACTTCGCCTCCAAGGTCTTGTGAGGAGCTTGATGTGATGCTCCCGGATCCCGACGGTGTGATTGGGATCCAACCCTCGCATCTACTGCAGCAGCTTGGGAAAGTTGAAGGCCAAGAAGAAGAACGAACAGCATGATCTTACGAACAGAGGCTGTACCAGTGCTGCAGTTCCGGGACTTGGGACCCGGACGGCTTCTGTAGAGGGGGTCGTGGTGAGTCCATGGCCATCCTGGCCAACCTGTGTGCCAGAAGCCACAGGACCAGCCCGACGAAAATGAAGGCAGGCACTGTGGAGAGGCCTGGTTGAACGGGAGCCAGCTGAGGTGCTGGGCAGGCCTGGGTACGGAGCTGAGCTGCTGCCAGGCATACACAAGCAAGAGCAGAGAAGCAAGGTCAGAGCCACCGGCAGTGCCGACAAGAAGGTCGTGGTACTGTACCTGGCCGCCAAGAGGGTAGCAGTCAAGGCCGAGGTAAGCAGAAAAGTGCACGCACTAGACGTTGGATCACGAAGTCGCTCTTTGTTTTGACCCTGCACCACTCGGTCCAGCTGTGGGAGCTCCCTGGATCGGCTCCACCCTAGGCAGAGCAATAACTCAAAGAGGCATTTGGCCCTAGGCAGGAGCTGTGCCCTCTCACTACGCCAGGTCTGACTGATGGCGCCTGAGCACACGTGTGTTGTAGAGAGGGAGGGGGAGCCCCACCAGAGTGCTCCAGCAGTAGCTAGTTGGGAGAACCCTGAACCCCACAAGTGAGGTCGGAGCTTGCGGTTCTTTCGGGATGAAGGGCTCGTGGGGCTCGCTGCATTCGGAGGCCTGGACGAGGAAGCCATGCTGGATGTAGCTCGCCCTGGATCGCCAGGCGAAGAAGCTGCGGAGGCCGGCAAACTCATAGATGTTTCAGCAGCCACCAGTCCAGCAGAGCCTGCTCCAGTAACCATCGCATCCGTCCCCGAGTCTGCCTGGTCTGCCTGAGGTCCCTCGGCAGCACCACTGGGGTGGGCAAGCTCCTCCGTCTCGAGCTCATCAATGATGGTGCGCAGCTCCAAGTCTGCGATGGCCTCTTCAACCTCCAAGGACGACATCCGCGCTGCAGTGGTGCCATTGGCTCGGTCAAGCCAGGCACAGGAAGGCCGCCACCAGTAGCCTCATCGGCAGGGCCATCCTCCATCCTCGAGCGGCGACGCCTTCGAGGTGGCGCCCCTGGCGTCCTCGGCTCTGCACGGCCCGGTGGAGGGATCACCGGTCCCTCTGGCCCATCAGGGCCAGCCTGAATTTCAAGGGCTGCAAGTCCAGGAGGCCGGTCATCAGCCAGATGCACCACATGTGGATGTGTCGTATCGTTGGGTAACATGCCACGGATCTCCACTCGCACCCGGCGAAGATCCCTCCAGTATGGAGGGACGACCGTTAAAATTTGCCCTTGTGTTAGGGCAAGAGCCTGTGCGACGGTGGCCGAGAGCTGCATCGAGATAGACTGGACCTCCTGAATGAATGAAGGGTTCGGCGGAGGCGGCCCCCGCGGGCCATCCAGCACCCTGGTTCCATCCTCACCTGCTTCGCCTTCCGAGCCAGAGTCGAAGGCCTCCCTGTGCTCCCTTTGATCCTCAGACGAGGTATCATCAGCTTGCTGCCGCGCCCGGGCCACATATCCAGGAGGGGGACCTGGTGGCTCCCTTACGATCTGGCCAAGGCGATCTCGTATGACCCTCGCCGGAGCCGGTGTCTCCGCCGGCGCCTCGTCCATGTTGTCCGCCGAGTCCTCTAGCAAATCCAGGTATTCTCCTGAAGAGCTTTCAGCCAGCCTTTCAACCATAGCCCACTCAGTCCCGTTGGTGACGGTGGCCCCTTGAGCCCATCCGGCGTTGAGCAGTCTTGAAAGCCGCGAACAGGCATGCATCCTAACCCAGGCATGTGTGCTGCGAGCAATCAACTGGGCTGTCTGAAGCAATCTGCTCACATCAGGGTAAGACCGCTGGGGGCACATGTTGGCAGCTGTCTCTGGGGTGCTTGGCTGTGTCACCTGCACCACGCAACAGCCGAGTGCGAAAATGCCACTCGGGATCATGTAGAGACCGCAGCACATCAGGACTGTGCATGTCAACCCCGGCAGCAGGACAGCTCCCAGGGCCTGCTCCAGGCTCGCTGGAGGACTAGTCCGGAAGCCTTGCCTTGACAGCTTCCAGGCACCTTTAATCGAGCGTCTCAAGTTCAGGGCTGTGGTAGCGGCAGATATGCTGGAACATGGCCAAGCCAAACTTGGAGTCCGACTCAAACGTCCGAATGAGTAGCTCCTGCTTCCCTTCAGTAGCCAATAAGTTCCAACCCACACACCAAATGCCAAAAGCCCCAAGCCCAGCAGAGGTCCAGTGCTCTCGGAGCTGCGCTTGTCTGCACCGGAGCACTTCGATCTGTAGTTCCTGCCACTGCCTAGTGAGGCCTCCAAGCACATAGTTCTCAGTAGAGACGTATATGTGGTCTGGCCCAAACAGGCGTGAGGCATACTTGGGGATCTTGTTGTCTCCGTGGCAGGCCACAATATCCATGCATGCCATGGCTCTTGAAGCACTACAGAGGACCCTGAAGAAAGCCGAGCCAGCCACCCCCCAGAAGAACCCTGAGGAGCCCTGTTCTGTCCGTCGAGAGCCACACCCCTCCCAGCCACAAACAGCGCCCCAAGGGCGTTCACCACAATCCACTTGTAACTCCACATGGAGCCGAGATGCTTATACATACATACATACATACATACATACATACATACATACACGCACACACACACACACCCACACACACACACACACACGCACACTCAGCGACACAGGCATACATGAGCATGCGCGCACGCGCGCAAAGTGCGGTCGGACTGTTTTTTGCTTATGTTTGCGATTCTGCCGCAGGGCAACTCCCTCTGAGAGAAGAAGACTTTACTGACTTGGCAGTTCTCACAATTTTTGGGTTGTCTGTGCGAAGACGCCCAGATCATGAACAGTTAGGAGAGAATCCGAGCCAAGCTTCCCAAGGGAGTTTGGCATCGTCAGCTATGTCGATGTACCGACATGGCCGCGACATTGTGACTTTGCCAGGCGTTCACGCAGTGGGAGCGAGGAAGGCATAACGACATGCAATTCCATTTCTTCCTGAGCCTGCTTCGAGTTCCGCTTGTAGATGCAGGCTCCATTGAGCCCGAAGTCGTGCAAACAGTTGTTTTGTGCTAGGGTTCGGCCGCCTCCACACCGTACTGCCGAATGTCCCGGCGCCTGCCACAGGATTGGGTGCCGAGCTCAGTTGAGTGCACGGCATCAGGTAAATGTCAAACTCAGGAGTTTGTGCTTGTTGGGAAATTCTCAGAAGCCATTTTGCAAGAGGATCGACTGACTCCACGACCTGTTAAAAGCATGACGGTGTGCACAGACATGTCAGCGATGCCAAAGATGCTTGGTGGTCCTGGCAGTTGAGACAAGGTGCAGCAGCGCGATGAGATTGTGCTTTGAAGCGCACCGGACGCCGATAGAAAAACAGTGCCGTGTCGGCTCTTGTCATAGGCCGCGAAGCATAGGCCGCTGCTACATTTCCGCATTTGGGAGCTGACGCGAACATGCAGGTGCATTTGGTAGTGTCTGAGGACTCGATCTGCTTGTGTTGTCGTAAAGCATCACATGTCTGCCCGAATGCACGCACCTGGGGATCGTGCCCGTTTGACTTGTGGACTTGCCTTGCCGTTGCGATGATGAAGTAAGGTGGTTGCGTACCTCGTTCGCCCATGTGGAGTCGATCGCTGCTGGATGCAGGTTGTGGCACCATGACGTATGGTGGATACAAGCCTGTTGTTTTATCGGGAGCACATGAATTTGAAGCTGAGCACTCGCCAAGAAGGGATATTACACGGTACTGCATCTGACATGAGAACTCCGTCCCCCCATTGCTTCTTTCGTGCACGATAGCGCCATGCCCATCTACAACTCTTCCGGGATTGCCGGTGCTCGGATGCACCGCAGCCACGTGTCTTGGCTTCGGAGCTGCTCTTGGAGTCTTTTGAGGAGAGCTGCTCTTTACGTCTTTCCTGAGGTGGCATGCCTGCCTTTCTACTCCAGCTGGAGCCCACCCTCGTGTCCACCTGAACCTTGGCTGCACATCTTCGCAGAGCGTTGGTATGCCAAGACACAAAAGATCGGTGCTGCGCAGGATTTGGAGCTTCCCCGTTCTGAGTTTGCTCGAGTGGGAGGTGAGAAGGTGCTTGCGATGCATGTTGTTTGTGAACGCTGACAGGCACAGTCTATCCCAGTCTCTCCGCACAGGTTCCGAACACAAGGAAGGTGAATGCCATCGTCAACGCAGCCGCAAGTCTGCAGAGTGTTGCAGAGTCGGCCCTGGAATGCCTGCTGTCCAGGTCATGCTCAGCTGAAGCTCCGGTTTAAGTAAGAATTCTAGGTGGCTCCCCACTGCTATGGTGCTGCAGTGCTGTTGTTGCTTTTTCACTACCGTTGTTGCTAGGCCGCAGTTAGCTCCTCTATTGGGACTTCGGGCCAGGCAAAAGGGAGCTAGAGTTACCTTCTAAGATTCTAAAACTCTCAGTTTTTGTTAAACCCACCCTAAATCCCAGACTTGAAGCGCACCCTGGCCTACGCCATCGGAAGTGAAACAGGGCGAACCAAGTGTAGAAGGTGGGGTCATTGATCTTGTTGTAGGCCTCAGCCGCCCACGTGTGGATGTTGAGCTTTGGCTTCGGATGACAGCAGGCCCCCGCACTGCTGCCTTGCTGCGACTACTAGTGCTGCTGCTGTTGCTAGTCGTCGCTGGCATTGCCCCAGACCAGCCGTCGACGACGAGTTTTCGTTCAAGTACCCATGACGTGCAGCAGCATTTCAATGCTAGACACACATAGAGAACAAAGAACATTGCTGTTCTGAACCGGCCTGAAACGAATTGGAAGGCTGCAGGTACCCGAGCTACCAAGCATTCAACTTCTGCAACTTCTGTTGTAGACGTACAAGTACAAGCTGGACAGCGGTCTGCTTCGTTTGCTTGTCAGTGCCCCGAGGCCCTGGACACTTCCACGAGTGGATTTGGCCCCGTCGCATCCCAAGCAAGCGCTTCTTGCCGTCTGCACAGCGCAGCTGGGAGCACCCGCCGCAACCCTGCAGCCAATGCCATGCGGAGAGGGGCGTATTCTTGTCTTGAGGCCTCCTCGACGGCCCCTCGAGGTCCACAGGCACCGTCTGCACTTCGCCCTTGCTGACGAGACGACCTAGAGAAGTCTTGCATTCAAAGCGGCATATGTAGGGCTACCAGCACTCGGGCCCCGACTTCACGAAGACGGAGCGCAGCGGTTGGCCGCCACCCGGCTAGATGCATCGATCCGCTGAGCCGCGAGACGGCTCAATTTCTGCCTCGTTGAGCCTTCCACAACCGAAGAAAGAATCGTCTGAATGCCCCTGGTGGCGATGTCCACTCGTCCGACTCGATGACTGTCTGTGGCTGCTTTGGCCCAGGTATTTTGAGCGCGAGACGGCCGAGCCCTTCCATGGCTTCCACGGAGCCTTGGCCGGAAGAATGACTCATCCCCGAGCTCCGGTTTTCATGAGTGCGCTGAAGAGGGGACGCCACCCTTGGTGTGCTGCATCTGCCAGGAAGCCCATTCGCTTTGACACCGAGGACCCGGGTGTTCGAGCTTAACGGAGCCCCAAAGCTACCCCTCCGCAGCCCGGGAACGGGGTGACGGGGAGCAGGAGGCGGCAGAAGCAGACGCTGAACCCGGTTGCCAGCTTTGGCAAAACCAATCTTTAGAGTTTAGAGCTTATATCGTTGTTTGAAGAGAGCATAGCAGAGAGCATGGATCTCCAAGAGATCTTGCTTAGAGCATGCTCTTCCTAGAGCCCTAGAGCCACCTGCCTAAGGGCGGTGCGCAAGCTTTAGCTCAGATTCAAGATGTCAATGCCTTGGAGGCCTTTTGGGGCTGTGCTCTTGCTCCAAGGCGAAAAGTTTACATAGGGTCTACCAGCTCCATTGCGAAGCAGTCGGCGCTCACAGAGCCTCAAGGAAACATTTCCTGCTAGGGATCGCTGAGAAGGTGAACTAAGCATGGATTCCACGGAGGCCCTTCGGAGTGGAGTTGGCTGCAGTTTTGGACTGCTCATACCTTGCTAGGCTGCCTGTCTTTCTGCAACGGCTCTGTGTCGGACGGAAGACGAGTAGTACTTTCCAGCTGTTGTGGCAACTATCGGTGCGAGTTGCGAAGTAAACTGAGATTCGGAGCACAGTCGACGGCGGAGGTGTCCGGCGTGTGATGCGGTTCTAAACTTCTAACTCTTGCTGCTTTCAGCAGTGTGACATCTGCAGCACCACGTTTTCGGCTCAATCGAGTACTGGATTCCACTGGGCCAATGTTGCCAGGCGCGTCCAGGCACGAGGAACAGAGAACAGAACACAGAGAGAGAGAGTGAAGTGAAGAGAAAGAGAGAGAGAGAGAGAGATAGATCTGTCCATAACCCTGCCGAAAGAAAGAGAGAGAGATCGGTCTATGGGGGGCCCATAGGCCGGGGGGTCTGACCCGCCCCCTATGCCCTGGGGAAGAAGAAGAAGAGAGAGATCGATGCCAAAACACGTTTCACGCCGACAGACCGAACAGGACAGAGGCGGAGAGCTAGCGCGCAGGGGTTCAGGGGGTAACCCCTGTCCCCAAACGCCCTGCAAGCAAGCAAGCAAGCGAGCGAGCAACTTGTTGTAGCGGTCAGTCTTGAGTACCGGGGGCACGGCCCCGACACCAGATTGCTCACACCGAGACCATGGCAGCTACAATGGTACCCATGTTTGATTGTTCGGATTCATATGGTGGCCTAATATTCCCTCTGCTTTGCATGCGGTGAGCCCTTTGTATGTGGGTTTGTGTGGGTGCG